TGCCAACCTTGCTGACTATATGTTATGATTATCTTCAGGTAAATGTTTTGTGCGGCTGATGATGCTCTGATTTCGGGAAAGGCGACTAGGGAAGTACCTCGCAGGCAGAGTCCTGGTCCCTGCAGTATACTACCACGGCCTTGCATAGCTAGATTTTACCCTCGTGACATACAATACTACATGGATCATAGCCTAGACAGCCGCTTATGTCAGATTAGCTTCATAACAGAATGCAATCACATTCGGCACGACGACTGAAGCACCACTGCGGATGCGGTGTGTTTCTCGGTCATTTACTTTGACTGTTGTTCTTTCTGTGTCATCTACCGAAGCAAAAGCTGCAAATTTCATCTCCGATTTCCACAAAGACAGCTCCAACAGCGTTGTACTTTCCACCTGTTCGTACCTCGACAGAGCCATCGTTGCTTCTCGAAGCAAAAATTGCCTATGTTCCACGTCGTTCTCAGCCACAATCGCATTCACTTTATCGGACATGTCCGATTTCCAAGCTTCCAATCCATTCCAACTCGATATACAACCCACCATCCATCCTTGAAGAGCCATTCGATGCATCTGTCTTGAGTCTTCATCCAGATGAAAGCTTCGTTGGGTCAAATATTCAACGGCAGTCTTTCCATGCACGTCTTTCCATCCAAGGACATGCGGTGGATACGCATCTAGTAGGACCTGCAAAAGATCCAGTCTGCAGGTTGCAGCCGACAACAGAACGTGAAAGGGTGTCAAACCAAAAGGGTCCACCAAATGGGTGCTGCCTTCTTGCTTTGAATGCATTGATGACTCAATCTCCCGAGCCAGCTCATTTGTTGTCGTAACAGAGGCGTGGTAACATTTCTTGTGCATGGGAAAGTTTTCAAAACGACGCTGCAGAGCAGGAAAGATGTTTGCGTCCCTGCTATACTGATTTTCCAGCATTGTGCAGCCACCAAAGCTGGTGTAGCCAATAGCTCCAGTGCTTGTTATGGTCGTTGACGATGCGGAGAGAGGAAGACAAATGTTTACTAAACTCTTGCATTCCGTAAAGGCCATGTCAGCAATCGCCACAGTTCTAGGCCTATCCCCCAATTCCACGGAAAGCAAACTCCAACATTGCTCAAAAGCAGCGTAGCCAATCCCTTCTACAGACTCTGGTAGTGCAACGGCTTGCAAATTTTTGCAGCCGCAAAAAACAAGTGGTGCCAAATATTTTAGGCCATTCTGAACCTTCACTACCAGCAATGACCTGCAGCCAAGGAATGCAGCTGACTCAAGGAGCCCAACAGTAGAAGGAATATTGATTTTTTGCAAGTTGACACAATTCCTGAAGGTCTTTGCTCCAATCGTCTTCAAGTTTGCTTCCGCGAAATTCACTTCCTGCAATGACGAGCACTGGTAAAAGGCTGCATCTCCAATGGTAGCCAACAATCCATCTTCATGAAAACAAACTTTGGTTAATGATTTGCACGTACCAAAGGCGTGCTTTCCAATTATCTCCACACTGGAGGGAATGCTGACTTCGGTCAATGACGAACATTGGCAAAAGGCTGCAAATCCAATGGTAGCCAATAAACCATCGTCGTGAAAAGAAACTTTGGTTAAGGATTCGCACAAACAAAAGGCACGATCTTCAATGGACTCCACACTAGAGGGAATGTTGACTTCGATCAAAGACGAGCACTCGTAAAAGGCCTCCTCTCCAATGATAGTCAACACACTATCTTCATGAAAACGAACTCTTGTCAATGAGCGGCAAACAGCAAATGCCGCTTCTCCAATAATCGTCACAGTTGGAAGAATTTCGATTTCCAGCAAACTTGTACATCCGTAGAAAGCTAACTTTCCAATTGATGTTAGAGCGGAACCATTGAAATTGACGCGTGTGAGTTGTTCAAATATGCGACAAGCCTTAAAAGGAATCTGTCGAACGAGAGGATGAACATTTAATTCTTTCACGTCTTCTGGAATGATTTCTCTTTCTTTCCCACAGTACTGATACGAAGTCATCGCATTGATGAATAGTATTATGCAGATTGTCAGACAGTAGGGGCAAGACTATAATTCGAACGAAGAGCATACAGCATACAATTGTACAACATACAGTATTTACTGTGTGTGTCCACAGTGTCGGCGATGCGATCGAGGCTGCCATGCGATATGGCAACCTCTCCGTTTTCGCACATGATTCGTTCTTCGATATCGCAGGCAGAGCTCCCTCATCGTCGGGCGGACTATAATATTTTATAGGAGTGGCTGACGCAGATAACTGATCTAGTTCCGAGGATTTAAAAAAATCTTACAAAGCTTCCGACTATTTTCTGTGGAAGGCTGTTCCTTGCGATTTGGGCATGCTTACTGCTTCCTCCCTGATCTGCAACTTACGATGCTTTCTCAAAATTTCACTGCCGACTTCAGCCGAAGCCTCCTCGGTAAGGTGCTCAGTACTATTCAACCAACCCTGAAGAGTTTCAGCATCGCCCATGGCTGCGACTAATGAGCTGAAAATGGAATGAAATTCGTCAGGTGAAAGTTGAAAGAGCGCACCTGGGCCTTGCCGAATCAAGTTTCGCTCTCCTGCCAACATTATGGCATCCAAAGTAGCGGCACGAAATGCCTTCCAGGCTCCGCTTGGGATTCGCCATTTGGCCACAACTTCTTTCCATTGACCGATCTGAACCACGATCATCGTGTCCTGGACATCTACGAGATGCTCGCCTCCTACCAGGTCATTGGCAATTATCTCTGCCAACCGTTGCTGGACCAGGACGCGAAGTTTGAAACAGGGCTGCTTGGAAGATTCACAGTGTACGGCCTCTTGAAATGCAATGGCACGCTGAGAGTCGGCGATTTCAGATTGAATGACTGGTTGAAATAAGTCAGTTGCCGTGCTAGTCTCAACAGCTTTGATGACATCAGACATTGTGATCAGAGTTGAATTCAAGTTCTCAAAAACAACCAAAGTGCCTCCATCAGCAGCGATGGCAAGAAGTTCCTTCTCCGAGGTTGGATCATCCTCTTCGCTTGACTTCGATGACTCTTTGTCATCGTGAATGGTCGAAGTGTCGGCACTGTCCGAATTTTCACTGACTTCATGGATAACAGGTTCAGCGCCAACTTCAACGTCCAGTATTTCAATTTGCTCAATGGAAGGAGTGGTACTAAACAGATTCAAAGGTTGTCGCCGAACAATATCGTCCTGCATTTTGGTACGTATGTGCTGAATACCTTTCGAAGAAATCCTCAGGTACCATTTTGCCACGGATCCCATGTAAATGCTGCAACAGCAATAGGAGAGTAGCAATACATCAGGCGAAGCAATTTAGTTCTTGCCGAATCCACGCAGTAAGGTACGTACGATGTAAACACAATATTGAACGGGAGCCAAACAGCACAAAGCAAAATTGAAGATGTCTTCGTTGGGTAGTAATCGCCATATCCAGTCGTTGTCAAGCTGATGACTCCAAAGTAAATGCACTCAACAAAAGTCCAACCTTCAATATAACCAATGGCACAAGCTCCTGATAACGCCAGAAACGCTAATGGTAGAAAGACCGACAAGATGCGCCCGGCCATGGTTTCGCGGAAGAAGGAACGTGTACGGTCGATCAATTTCCACAAAGAGTCGCCAAATCTATTATTGCTGGAGTCGTCAGATTTCGCACTTCGAGCCAATTCCGCGGCCCGGCGATTATCTTGTGCACGAGACGCCTCGAGCAACAAGAATTGGTATACTTGAGCTACCATAATAGCCAGAGACGCGATTCCAACCAAGACATAGCAGGTATCCACCATCTGAAAAAGAGGCGTAGAAGGAATGTCGACATGACCATATCCTGCAGATGTTGCCGAATACACGGCGAAAAGGATTGTATCCGGCAAACTCCAATCAGTCTGGCTTCGAAAAAAGACGATACCTAAGGTCATGTAGACGGCAATGAAAGTAATTGAAAAGAGGGCAGCTCGAAAAGCCCACGCACGATGGGCTTGTTGGTCCACCAATCCTGATTGCTGAGCAATTACGTAGTCTTTGTTCAGTCCTCGCAAAACGTCAATATCCACCGGTGTCAAGGTAACATTGTCGCCAACATTTTTCTTGTTTGCCCTATTAGAGACAATGGGCATTGAAGAGGAATTTGGTTTTCTATCAGAATGACTGGTAGATGGAAGAACAAAATCCATATGATCGATATTTTTTATGAGAAGTCTTGCGAGAAAGTAATTTTGTGAGAGGCGTAATATGCCATGTACATGTCGATAGCAAGACTCAAAAACATTCGACGAGGTACACGTACAGTACCAGTCGAACTGGTTCACACCCCTCAGAACGACTGCATCTCCCGAATTTCCGACCACGATTTTGACTTCATAACCCCACTTGTGGTAGTTCTGCCGCCTCATATCCTTAAGTAGAAATGTCCAATCTACCTGCTCATGCAGTCAGAATGCTGGCTGGTGAATAATTCCAAGATTGGTTTGCTTGGTTAGTTAGGTGGTTTTTGGTCCATTTTTGGCGAAATAAGGCCAAAAATATCCGCGCCACGCAAAAAAGTACTAGAGCTACGTGAATTTTTTTGACTACATCTCAAAAATCACCTTCAATCATAAATCTATTTTTGGCCTGGAGATCAATGAGCCATTTTGCCAACTCTTCAACAATTGGCTTTCTGGCCCTTTTGGCTTCTACACTTACCCTACAAGGGGCTTCTTGCATACGCCTCTTGTTTGACTTCGCCATCGTACAGAGATAATGGAATGAGTTTTGGAAAAGTGATTGGGCTAAATCAGTACGTTTCTGTATTGGTACCATTTTACGTGAGTCTACGTAGTGGACGAGGCACAGACGCATTTTCAAGATGTAGTCAATTTTCATTTGGGCTTGACTTCACCGCGCCCGTTTTCTAAAACCGTCAACCTATCGGTACAGAAATACCATACTCTAGAAGTCATTAAGGAAACCAGCCAATCAGCATGTTGAATGGTCAAATAATAAAATATTAGCCGATATCCTTGGATTTTTGGGGAACCTTTTTCTTCCTGTTTGGTTGACGCCATCATTGGAGATGTAGTCGTTCTGAAGGGTGAAAAGTGAGAACAGGTTTTCGACTGGTACTGTATGCGGTAGATGTGCTGTAGTACCGTACGTGTACTAATACCGGTTCTTGAGTTACATACTCACAGAAAAACCATATACCGTTAAGTGAGAAAAAGGAACGCTTGGAAAGGGTGAGCCCGACGCGGCAGAATTTCGTGATGTCACCAACTTCAACCAATCATCTTCGTCTCTTTTCCCAGAGCACTGGTGACAATAATAGCGAACGTCATTCGAAAAATCCCTCTCCAACACTGTACCGGCATGTCAAATGCATTATACTCTAGATCAGTTTCAATCCCTCCTGGAACTACACTATTGACAACCGATTGCATGCACGAAAAGCACTTGATCAGATATTACCCATACCGACCAGAGGGAATGCTCACTTCAGCCAATGACGCTTCTACCAGTGACAAGCAAAATGCTATGACCGACAAATGAAAGCTCCGTTGGGACAACCAAGGACATACGGTGGATACGCATCTAGCAGGACTTGCAAATGATCAAGTCTGCAGCTTGCGGCACGAGGGCAACCGGGACGTTCGTGTTACAACATTGTTTTTGCAGCTTTGTGCAGCCGTCGAAGCTGTTGATGTCCACACCGGAATGAATACCGTGGGAACTCGTGAAAAAGGCTTGTTGGCAATCATTTACCTCTAACGACGCGCATCCTTAAACGCATCACCATTATCTTCAGGTCTCCACGTTGGCCTCCCAATTCAACGGACACCAAGTTGGAAATGTGAAACATGCAATAACAACACATGTTTGGGTAGAACGACTAATATTTTTTAATAATAGTATATTGAATATTACACAGATTTCCGCCGAAACCGCAAATTGCACAATGTATAACACCGCTTTGATGGTGGTGTTAGGGTGCATGAGGCTCATCGAGGGCGGCATAAAGGACCAGTAACGTAGCATCATGAACAATGTAGAATGTGAGGCGGCTGGTGTCGAGTTACTGTCGACAATCCGGAGTTGGAGGGAATCGCCTACAGCACCATTCTTGTAAAGGAATAACAATTATGTAAAGCTATTGAAGTAGTGCTCAATACCATGTTCTACATATATGCTATGGGTGCTACGGAATGCTCGATAGGCAGATAGATAGGCATCCGCGTCCCTCCGCTCAGGGATTAACAAAGGCTACGCAAGTCTTTAGAGCTCCCTCGTCGACGGACTGGTAATCGCACGACGAGGTATATACTCTTCTATTCATCCAAGCTAACATCACCATTATTTAGAAAATCAAACAACCCATTGCCTATCTTACCGCATACGAAAGATTACTTTCATAAAGGAATGCTATCGCATTCGGAATGATCACTGAGGCACCATTTCGAATACGATATGCTTCTTTGTCATCCTTACTGACTGTCGTTCTCGTCGTACCATCTTCTAATACACCGTTGACCGAATTCAACTGAATTTTCCACAAAGAAAGCTCCAGCAGCGTTGTACTTTCCACCTGTTCGTACCTCGACAGAGCCACCGTTGCTTCTCGAAGCAAAAATTGTCGATGTTCCACGTCGTCCTCAGCCACAATCGCATTCACTTTATCGGACATGTCCGATTTCCAAGCTTCCAATCCATTCCAACTCGATATACAACCCACCATCCATCCTTGAAGAGTCATTCGAAGCATCTTTCGTGAATCTTCATCCAGATGAAAGCTTTGTTGGGTCAAGTACTCAACGGCAGTCTTTCCATTCACGTCTTTCCATCCAAGGACATACGGCGGATACGCATCTAGCATGATTTGCAACAGATCAAGTCTACAAACTGCCGCCGACAGCAGAATGTGAAAGGGTGTCATACGGAAAGGATCTGCCAAATGATCATGGGTAGTATTGTCCTGCGAAGAGTGCATTGATGACTCAATCTCCCGAGCTAGCTCAATTGTTGTTGTAGCAGAGACGTGATAACATTTCTTGTGTATCGGAAAGCTGTCGAACCGATGCATGAGGGCAATCGGGACGTTGGTGTCGCCATATTGGTTTTGCAGCTCTGTGCAGCCTTCAAAGCTGTTGATGTCCACACCACCGAAATGAATATCGTCGGAACTTGATAGGGTTGTTCGGGATTCGGGAGGAATGCAAATACTAATCAAAGACTTGCATCCTGTAAATGCCTCGTCATATATCCTCAGATCCCTAGGGCCATCCCCCAATTCCACAGACAGCAACTTGGGGCATCGTCCAAAAGCCATCCTGCAAATCACTTGTATCGACTCCGGTAGTGCAACTGATTGCAGATTCTTGCACGAGTAGAAGGAACCGTCTGCCAAATATTTGAGACCATTCTGGAACTTGAGTACCCCCAAGGAAGTACAACCCCTGAATGCCATTGGCTCGAGGCGCTCAACCGTGGAAGGAATGCTGATGGTTTGCAACTTGTCACAATTCCCAAATGCCCGATGCCCAATATCCCTCAAGTTTCCTTCCTCAATATTCAATTCCTGCAACGATGTACAGTCGCAAAAGGCACGGCTGCCCAACTCCTCAAGAGTTCTCGGAATGTCCACATTTTCCAATTTGACACACTCGGCAAAAGCATCACTTTGGATCACTTTCAGTCCCTCCTGGAAGGACACTCTTGACAACCGATTGCACGCATGAAAGGCACTTGATTGAATAACATCCACACTTGAGGGAATGCTCACTTCAACCAATGACACGCAAAAGGCAAAGGCCGAATCTCCAATGAAAGCCAAATGACCATCCTCATGGAAACGGATTTGTGTCAGTGACTGGCATCTCTGAAAGGCTTGATCTCCAATAGACGTCACTGACGGAGGAATTTTGATTTCCAACAAGCTTGTGCATCTATAGAAGGCATCTTTTCCGATTGTCCGTAAAGTGGATCCACCAAAGTCGACGCGTGTCAGCCGTTCGAACCGGTAACAAGCTTGGTCGGGAACCTCTCGAACGTGAGGATGGATGACTAAATCTGACGTAGCTTCTGGTATCGTTTCTCCATCGTTACCAAAGTATGTGTTGTAGTAAGAAGTCATCCTATAGTGACTGGCTTATTGTGCCAACCTTGCTGACTATATGTTATGATTATCTTCAGGTAAATGTTTTGTGCGGCTGATGATGCTCTGATTTCGGGAAAGGCGACTAGGGAAGTACCTCGCAGGCAGAGTCCTGGTCCCTGCAGTACTACCACGGCCTTGCATAGCTAGATTTTACCCTCGTGACATACAATACTACATGGATCATAGCCTAGACAGCCGCTTATGTCAGATTAGCTTCAAAACAGAATGCAATCACATTCGGCACGACGACTGAAGCACCACTGCGGATGCGGTGTGTTTCTCGGTCTTTTACTTTGACTGTTGTTCTTTCTGTGTCATCTACCGAAGCAAAAGCTGCAAATTTCATCTCCGATTTCCACAAAGACAGCTCCAACAGCATTGTACTTTCCATCTGTTCGTACCTCGACAGAATCATCGTTGCTTCTCGAAGCAAAAATTGCCTATGTTCCACGTCGTTCTCAGCCACAATCGCATTCACTTTATCGGACATGTCCGATTTCCAAGCTTTCAATCCATTCCAACTCGATATACAACCCACCATCCATCCTTGAAGAGCCATTCGATGCATCTGTCTTGAGTCTTCATCCAGATGAAAGCTTCGTTGGGTCAAATATTCAACGGCAGTGTTTCCATGCACGTCTTTCCATCCAAGGACATGCGGTGGATACGCATCTAGTAGGACCTGCAAAAGATCCAGTCTGCAGGTTGCAGCCGACAACAGAACGTGAAAGGGTGTCAAACCAAAAGGGTCCACCAAATGGGTGCTGCCTTCTTGCTTTGAATGCATTGATGACTCAATCTCCCGAGCTAGCTCATCTGTTGTCGTAACAGAGGCGTGGTAACATTTCTTGTGCATGGGAAAGTTCTCAAAGCGGCGCTGCAGAGCAGGAAAGATGTTTGCGTCCCTGCCATACTGATTTTCCAGCATTGTGCAGCCATCAAAGCTGGTGTAGCCAATAGCTCCAGTGCTTGTTGTGGTCGTTGACGATGCGGAGGGAGGAAGACAAATGTTTACTAAACTCTTGCATTCCGCAAAGGCCATGTCAGCAATCGCCACAGTTCTAGGCCTATCCCCCAATTCCACGGATAGCAAACTCCCACATTGCGCAAAAGCCGCGGGGCCAATCCCTTCTACAGACTCTGGTAGTGCAACGGCTTGCAAATTTTTGCAGCCGCAAAAAACAAGTGGTGCCAAATAATTTAGGCCATTCTGAACCTTCACTACCAGCAAAGACCTGCAGTCACTGAATGCAGCTAACTCAAGGAGCCCAACAGTAGAAGGAATATTGATTTTTTGCAAGTTGACACAATTCCTGAAGGTCTTTGCTCCAATCGTCTTCAAGTTTGCTTCCGCGAAATTCACTTCCTGCAATGACGAGCACTCGTAAAAGGCTGCATCTCCAATGGTAGCCAACAATCCATCTCCATGAAAACAAACTTTGGTTAATGATTTGCACGTACCAAAGGCGTACTTTCCAATTATCTCCACACTGGAGGGAATGCTGACTTCGATCAAAGACGAGCACTCGTAAAAGGCCTCCTCTCCAATGATAGTCAACAATCCATCTCCATGAAAACGAACTCTTGTCAATGAGCGGCAAACAGCAAATGCCGCTTCTCCAATAATCGTCACAGTTGGAAGAATTTCGATTTCCAGCAAACTTGTACATCCATAGAAAGCTAGCTTTCCAATTGATGTTAGAGCGGAACCATTGAAATTGACGCGTGTGAGTTGTTCGAACTTGCGACAAGCTTCATCTGGAATGTGTCGAACGAGAGGATGAACCTTTAATTCTTTCACGTCGTTTGGAATGGTTTCTCCTTCGTTTCCAAAGTAGTGATACGAAGTCATCTTTTATTCAATGAATCAACGAATGGCGATTTTGTTGTTGTGTACCGGTACGGTCGGTGTGATGAGTGAGGAATAGGAGTTGTCGTCGAAATGAACACTCCTCATATTCCCGCCCCGCAGCCTCGCCTTGGACGTTGTGTGTGCAAGTCCGAGCACGCCATGAATACCACGAGCATGGCTAGCTTACGGACAAACGCCATCTGGCCAGAGAATCTTCAACTTCCCACGAAAGCCACGTAAGTTTTACTGGCATTTTGACAAAATCTGTGATTCCACAAACACGTGCACCATTCACTACTCGGTACACTACGACGGAAGAAAACCAAATATTTTTCAATTTTCAACTGAAGAAAAAAAAAAAGACGAAGACGTGAAAAACAAGCATCGGCTGTTTTTTGCATTCGTTGAAATAGTATAATAATACTACCTTCAACCAAAAGAGCTTGAAGAAGACAAAGCATCACCTTTATCAGCAACAACAACTTGACAACAACAGAATCCTATCCGCATCAGAAACAGCGCACCAGAAACAGCAGGCACCTCAATTGAACTTGTCTTCCGAGCGGTCATTTTTTGCATTCTATTGGAAATACGATCGAAGAAAATCATGAAATTGCGCAGTCAGCGAGTGATCGGAGGTCCCTTTGATGAACCTTTTGAGACGGAATGCTCCGTATCATCCTCTTCGACATCAAGCTCGAGCTACCGGAGACGAAGAGGCAATAAGAAAGGCTCGACCATTCAGTTCAAGAACTTGAATGATGCTGATGATGCCAACGCTGATGATGCCTCCAAACGTTATCACCAAGTTCCGGAACTCCGGCGTGCAGGTTCTTCTACAGTTTCCACCTCGGAATCCTCCTCCTTGCTGTATATCGATGACGATGATGATGATGATTACGATGCATCCACCATTCTGTCCGATACCCTCCCGGAACTGACTTCTGCGGGAGGTGTCTTTTATCGAACCATTTTGACCCAATTCGAAGCCGTTTTCATGAATTTCTATTGGAACGGCCTTCCCTGGGAGGGATATCAATGCCGTTCTTGGAAGGCTGGTCTCACGGGCGCCTTTTTTTGCCTCCCCATGTTCTTTTGCCGTTCCAACCGGTACGAACAAGCCTGGTGGATATTGCAAGCTCTCACATCGGTCATGGCAGATTACTATTACATTCATACACGATCGGCATGGCATGGGGTTGATCGAATTGTGGCGCAGTTGTCGTTGTTGGGACTAGTGGCAAGAGCCTACTTTTTTGTCAGACTTTGGTCGGTCGCCTTGTTGGTGAGTTTGCCAGTCTCCTGCTTTACGCTAGCGACTAGAGCCAAGGATCACAATGACATTTCCAGATGGCATTGGTGTCATATGCTCTGGCATATTGTGGCACCCATCGGATGTATGACTGGGGTTTACCTATCCTACAATTGTCCAAATGGAACTGTGCAATACTCGCCACTTGACAATTTTTGCTTGGACACATCGGCATCGACGGCGGAAGCGGCCACTTGGTTTGGACTACTCGCCGTCTAACCAGTCGGAAACAAGACACTACACAAATCCAAACGATAATAGACTACTACTGTATGCATAGTTGAATAATTAACCTAATGGAAGAATAGTTAGGTATGTATTTACTGTATCGATTGTTACACTGATCGGAGTATAGAAGGAGGAGAAGGAGGCGTCATTCAATCGTGGCTACAAATTCCGACCGACTCAAAAAGGAAGTAGATTCGTACTCTATTCACCCAACAAAAAGGAGATTCGAATCACGATTCATTCGCACCGGTATCGTCATGAGAATGGCCATGCACATACCGGTATATATATATTCAAAACTTAATTACTGTAGGTAGGACTAATACTATTAGTAACCATAATTCATAGTGACGAGATCACAGTAGAACTGATCGCGTGATAGCGGTACATCATCGGGGCAGTTTGGTGGGTAGGCAAAAAGTGGTGGTGTTGGTACAATACATCTAATACTATGATTTTCGTTTTCCATCCATGCATTCCCCGTAGTATATAGTATATCATCATCATAGTAATAATATACTAGTCCTATTGAGATCATGGCTGTCTTTTATTGAAAACTTACATTCCATTTTCGATAGCCATGAGCTTTTCAATGCCCTCATACAATTTGCCAATGATTTCAGATTCCTTAATGAACAATCGCGAGGATGGGGAAATATCAACAGTTCCATCGGCACCAATGGGAGTGTGCTCTCCGCCAGTTCCACGAACCGACAAACCCAATGGCTTGCAAACTTCCTTGGCCTTTTTGTCAGTACCATCCGAAGTCAACTTGGGAATCTTAATGTGCACAGAGGCTCGCATGCCCGTTCCCAAGTTGGAAGGACACGAGGTGACATAACCATAATCAGAATCCTTGGCAAATTCAATTCCTTCAATACTTTCCACAGTCTTGAGCATGGCATTCAGATTGGTAAAGACTTCTAGCAAATTGGATCCCTTCTTCATGCACATGATACGAAGTTGATCCTCTTCGCCAAACCAAATGATGCGCATCTTGTCATCGGATTGCCAACAACCACGACCAAAGGGCCAGTCCGATGCAATCCCGGCCGACTTCAAGTATGGATCGGCATCCATATCCTTGAACATGACGTGGGCCTTGACCAATTCGTTGTACTTTTCGTCACTAATCAAATTGGGGTTGGCACCGTCGTCTCCAAAGTCGGGAGTGAGCGAGTACACTTCGCCACCATACGCCTCCTTGAGCTTTTCAAAGGCTGACAACATGCGCTGTTCAAACTTGACACGTTCGGCCTTGTCCATGGCACCGGGCAAGTTGAAACCGACCAAGTTGCGGCCGACCCGGACACGCATGGACAGCTCGTCTTGGCCTAGCTTTTTGACATCGTAATCCGTGTCGCCAGTGTTCCAGTCGGTCTCGTGCTTTTTCGCACCCGTGTCATCGCCATGGTAATCACGAATCACCTTGTCAAAGAATCCGCCAAATTTGGAATAATCGGAAGTGGTCATGGCGTAGCAACCCAGTCCGGAATCTTCATTGTCAATTCCTGTTCGGACGCACTTCCACAAGACTGCTTGGTCTGTTTTATTTTGTTTTGTTTTGTTTAGGGAATGGTAGAGCAGTAACGAAATTGAAAATCGTGTGTCAGATTGTTCGTTCGTGGACGATGGAATGAAAATACAAAAAATGAGAACGCACAAAAAGAAGAAGTGCAGGGAGGAGATACCATCCAAGCAGACATCATCCAAGTACTGGAACTCTTTCTCCCGCTTTCCAAACTGACGCACCTGCTTCGCTAAGGCCCTTGAATTCATCGGTAGTGACGTATTCCTTCAAGTACTTGCAGCATCGGTTTCCAGGGTGAGCCTTCAAGATCTCTTCGCACTTGCTGACAACTGATTCAGTGTCGTCTTTGAAGGGATTGCTGGAGTTCATGATGGCTGTTGAAAATGGGTATGGCTGAGAAAAAGGTACTGTGTTGAAGTTGGCTTGAAACTGAAACCAAAGGATTTGTGAGAATGCAAGGGAAAGGGCCACAGCAAAGATTGACACCAGCAGCTCCGATGACCGCATTCGCCAAAAGATATGGAGGGTTGATGCCTCGCAATTTGTGACCATATTTGACACCGGCTCAACTCACAGTACCACAATTACGTACATTCTACATGATAGGTCAGGCGCGATTAATGTCTTTCTACAATCAACTCCTTTCCATAGATCCAGGTTCAAGGTTCGTACCCTTGTACGCTTTACAGTGAGAGTTATTAGTATTATATACGCTTGTACGAAATGAGTTATGTGTGTCTTCGTAATCAAAAGCTGAAAGAAACAGTAACATTGGGTACCATCATACTATTTACATCGAAACATAACATAGAAATTCAAGTTGATCAAAAACAATGTTGTGGTCATCGACAATCAAACACGTGCATCACGGATTCATCTTCGCTGCGCTGGCATTGTCCCAGTTCGCCGTCCTTTCCGATTATTGATCATGGGTGACGGCGGCAGATCATTCACCGCCTTGACCCGCACCGATGGCTTGGGGGTGGTGTTGGGTGTCACGCTGCCCATAATATCGGGTCCCAATGGCACTGTTTCAGTTCCATTCAGTGATTTCAACGAGGGTTGTTTGCGAAATGGCACCCTAGGAGATTGAACTCGTCCAGTGGCCGAGCTGACTGTCTTGTGAGGGGGGATTGGAGACGGCACCGTGCGTTTCCCCCTCCTTCCTTTGCGTCCAGTTGTTGTTGTTCCAGGGGTGTTGTCATTATTGGTATAGGGATTCTCATCAACGGACTTGTCCCGACTGGTACTGGTCAGCCTTGGATTTTTATCGTCACTACTCTGGCGACGAGATCTTCCTCGTTTGACCGGGACGGCCTTGACTGGTTCAGGTTTTGGTTCGCTATGGGCACTTCGGGTCGGTATAGGGTCATTGTTCTTTTCCGTCTTGTCGCCGGATCCAAGTATTTTCCGTAGACTCTGTAGTTTCTTGGCACCTCCCTTTTTGAATTGAGAAATTCGTTTGGAGGTACTTCGTTGGGAGGAACGTGTCGCTGGTTTCTCATTGTCTCCTCCATTCGCGCTCTCTTCCGTCTCAGTCTTTTCCGACTTTCGAAAGGACTGCTGCTTTCCTCCTAGACGAGTGTTGGGAACAGGAGAAAGCGATCGTTGTGATCGTTTGTTTGCCTTTTCTGCGTCAGTTGGACGGGGTGTTTTGTTGCTGCCTGATTTGGATGCTCGTATTCGGTACTTTTTGTAGAATCCTTGCACTTTTTTTTCCTCCTTGGGGTTATTGTTTTCAGTCACATCTCTGGCGTTCGCAGGCATTCGAGAGTTATTCTTTGGTCCTACAGGTATTGCTTTGACTGGTACTCCTCCTACGATTGGTTTTGGAGGTGGCGGTGGTGGATTCAGCCGTCGTCGAGTCGGTTGCTGTTGCTGTTGTTGTTGCTTCTTCTTCTTCTCTTTTGATTTCGATTCATCTTCATCATCCGTGGGACAATCATCTTTGCCAAACTCAAAATAAATATACTCTGGTACACCTGTCCGTCTCCATTGCATGAATTCATTTCGCTTCCTTTCTTCCTCGTCTTCTTCTTCTCTCTGTCGTGGCGGAAGTTTGTTGCCATCAACGATAGGTGGTTCGCTATCCACCATATTTTCCATGTTGGCTCTTTTTCTCACTTGCGCATAAGGACTTTCCAGTGGCGCCTGTTGTTTTGTGGATTCCACATCTTCCTCATTCTCCTCATAATCCTCGTTGGGGGCAGCGGCCACACCTCGTGCCAACATGTCCGAGGCAAAGACAAGGGGTTCCTTGGCCATTTTCTTTTTTTCCTCCGTGGCAATGGGTGGCTCCAAGGGTGCCAACATTTCGGTCGAGACCAAATTCATTTCTCTCGAATTCAACATGTCATCTGCAAAACTAGCTCCGTCTTCTTGACCAGGAAACCTGTAGTCATCGTCGTCGGGCAAATGAAAGGCATCCTCTTCGTCGTCATCTGACGATCGTGATTCCACATACAATTGTTGTTCGGAAAGGTTGCTTTCTGTATCGGAGGGTTCTAGCGAAGTCTCGGAACTACTGCTACTACTCCTACTACTATGGGCTTCATCACCCTCATCGTCAGATATATCAGATACACTGGACATATCGGAATTCTGGCTGACATGATGTTGCACAGGAACCCAAGAATCCTCTTTGTCGTCTTCAACATGATCGTCATCCTCTTCCAATTGATCATCCTCCTCCTCATCTGAAGAACTCTCACTCAAATATTCATCATCATCATCATCACTGGAATCTACCGTTTTCGTTTTGCTTGGTTTCCTTACAGTCGAAGGTCTGTAATATTCACTATCGTCGTCGTCATCACTATCAGATGTAACCGTAGTCACGATTATCGGATGACTGTGTTCCGACATGCTGCTGCTGCTGTTGAGACAATGTCTGTATCAGCAGCTCTTTTTTATTGTTTCGGTTCAGGCATCAAATAGATATTGCACACTGTACAAAATGATGGCAGCTGGATGTATCTGTGTGTGTCTTTGTGTTTAAGCTAATGGATGGTTTGTCGTCCTTGAGATATATATGTATATATATATATAGTTGTTAGCAGTACAATCCAGCGTCGTGTCCTCTCTTTTCTACACGGTTTATACTAGACGGCAGTTATTCCTATTGTTGCCGGTTGCCTGCCTCATCCACAGAAACACTGCACCTCGTCTCTTTGTCGCCGACCGGTTTCTGGTTTTCGGACGCTCCGAATACGTTTCTCCCTTGTCGGACACAATTGGACCAGACTTAGTTTTGTCTGGTCGTGAGTTTTTCGTATTCTACCGACTTCTGTTCGGCAGCGGAGCTTTTTCATTCATTTTTGGAGAAGAGTGCCCGTACGTGCGGTCAACTGACGAATGAGGTTCTCTGGTGCATCGAATGCCGGTTATTTTCAATTTTATCAAACACGACCAAATGGTACCTATTTTTATATTTATAGCACGATAAATAAATGGCATTTCCTAGTTTTAATTAAACGGCGCCGAGAGCAAGAAGCCCAACGGAGAATAATGACCCATCCCGAAGGGAGAGAAATTACTGCACCCTACTAGGCCCTGTGCGGAAGCGGAAGCAAGCAGCTAACAGCTAACAGCGAACAGCGAACAGCACAAAAGAGAAAGTGCAACTACATCAGTTACCGTATTGCCTCTTCTTCTAATGGCTTTCGCCGCACAAGCACAACGTAAAATGGCACCGGAGGCTGCTAGTCTTCCGGCCATTGCTAGAAGGGCGTCCTCCAAACAAAATCGCGTCAATTTTGGTGGAGATGAAGGACTCTCCCGATTTAGTATTGACAGTGTGAGTATGGCGGAAGGCAGTGACAATGGGAGTGCTCCAAACGACAGTGGACCCTCTCGCTCCGGTCCCTCCAATCTGTTAGCGGCCTCTCAAGACACATTTACCAAACAAGAAACCAAAGCCGTCAATTCTGTCAAGACTGTTGTCTATTTGATATTGTTCTTATCAGCTGTGGGATTCGCTGTTGGAACTTACTTTTTGGTGGAGCAAGAGCAATCCCAAGCCTACAAATCCGACTTTTATTCATTGACGGACATGGTGGCCATGGACATTCAACTGAAAATCAGAAATGCGGTCACTCAATTGCAAACGACCTCATCTTCCATCACTTCCCTTGTGACTAAAACCGATTCCATGGTCACACTTCCTCAATTTGATCGAAGAATGCAAGATTATGGAAACACTACCGCCATGGTCTTGTATGCTCCTTTGATTACTCAAAATGATAAGATTCGTTGGGAATCCTATGCCAAATCCAATCAAGATTGGATTGATAAATCCCTGGAACAACGAGGATGGACCGCTACCACTTCAGAGATTCCCCCCACCATTCAATCACTAAACTCGACCTCCATCTTTCAAGATCGTTTTGCCCCCATTTGGCAAATGTCGCCCGTTCCTACAGATCGCTCCATCATCAACAACGATTTGCTGTCGCTCGCGGCGGTGGCCAGTTTGTTAAAACGACTCGATGAGAGTGCTGCCACAAAAAAGGCGGAAATGTCAGGTCTCGAAGATGTCACGGCACTACTTGCCTTCTCGAATGAGTTTGATGCCTTGACCGATGAGGCCGACCAAAGTCCTACCAGTCTTTTGGCAGTGCCAGTCTATGAGGATTTCACCTCTTCGACCATTGTTGGTTATGTGGTGGGTGTCTTTCAGTGGAATACCATGGTGACCTATCCATTGGAAGATGCGGAAGGCCCCATTATGGTGGCCATTAGCCAGAGCTGTGGACCCAGCTTTTCCTACAGGGTCGATGCTTCCGGACCCTCCTTTTTGGGCACTGGATCCATGAGCCATGACGCTGATTTGGAAAATGAGTACCCACTCTTTTCCTCGTGTGATTACGCAGTCAAGGTGTCGTCTTCCGAGGCCTTCAAGGACTCCTATCAAGACTCGGCTCCTCTCGTCTCGGCCTTTTTGGTATTTATCCTCTTTTTGTTCATCATGAGCGTCTTTTTCATGTACGATTGCATTGTCCAACGTCGTCAAAAGAAACTCTTGATGACGGCCCAACGTACCAACGCTGTGGTGTCGAGTCTCTTCCCCGAAGACGTTCAACGTCGTATCATGCAAGAAGCCGAAGCTAACGAAAAGAAGGAACAACGCATGACGGTAACCAACAAGATGAAGGAATTTCTACAAGATACCAATGAACAGCCAAACAACTCCAAAAAGGCTACGGAACTCCGTGGAAAGCCAATTGCCGATTTCTTTCCCGAAGCGACCGTCATGTTTGCCGATCTCGTCGGTTTTACGGCCTGGTCCAGTATGCGAGAACCGACTCAAGTGTTTACGCTCCTGGAAACCGTGTACAATGCCTTTGATGAAATTGCTCGAAGACGACGCGTCTTCAAGGTCGAAACCGTTGGAGATTGTTATGTGGCCGTTTCCGGTTTGCCCGATCCATGTGTCGACCATGCCTTGGTCATGGCTCGGTTTGCCAGTGATTGCCGAATTCGAATGAACGATTTGGTCAAGGAACTAGAGGTTAGCTTGGGTCCTGATACTACCGAACTCGCCATGAGATTTGGATTGCATTCGGGGCCAGTGACTGCTGGTGTGCTTCGTGGTGACAAGGCTCGTTTCCAATTGTTTGGAGATACCATGAACACAACCTCGCGCATCGAGTCTACTGGAAAACGCGACCGGATTCATATTTCTCAAGAGACTGCAGATTATCTAATCAAGGCTGGAAAGACTCACTGGCTCAAGCTTAGAGAAGACAAGGTGACTGCAAAAGGTAAGAAGAAGAAGAAGAAGAATGGTGCTAGAATTTGGTGGCCATTTTTTGGAGATTACCAAGTGTGCTAACTCTGCTGCTCTTTCGAACCCTATCTCTACAGGCAAGGGAGAACTCACTACCTACTGGCTCGCCATCAACAAACTTCGTGGTGGTGGCAAGGACATGGCCAACGGCAGTCAGTCTTCGGAATGGTCCTTGGGCGACTCAGATCATCATCAGGGTGCTGGCGCCGAAGCCACGAGCACCACGTCCGACGACGAAGACAAGCTCACCGAAAAGCACCGCCGTTTGGTCAACTGGATTACCAACGAGATGGCCGAAATTTTGCGTCAACTCGAAGTGTCCCGTATCGGAAGAGAAGATTACAAGTCGTTGGTGGATTTGGAACAACTCTCTGTCATGAGAGAGGCTGGCAAGAATCCACTCGACGAAGTTATTGAAATTATTACATTGCCCCGGTACAGTGCCCAATCCAGAGCTACTTCGGACGAATTGGAGCGAGAGAATTACATGTTGCCCAAATTTGTTATTGACGAACTACGAAGTTATGTCTCCACCTTGGCTGGAATGTACTTGGAGAATCCATTCCACAACTTTGAGCATGCCAGGTATGTCTCCTTGGTATTTTTGCCTTGTCATGAACTGGATTGGTTTGCGTTTGTCAGGCTTGCAATAACTCACCGTATCATTTCTTCTTTGTCAATAATCCTACAGTCACGTAACAATGTCTGTGGTCAAGCTGATGTCCCGTATTGTTGCCCCCAATATCCAGATTGAAGATGATGACATTGAAGCTGCTCTTCACGACAAGACCTATGGTATCACTTCTGATCCATTGACTCAATTCGCTGTCGTCCTTTCCGCCTTGGTTCACGATGTTGATCACCCTGGTGTGCCCAACTCACAGTTGACCAAGGAGGGAACTCGTCTGGCCGAACTCTACCGAGACAAGTCAGTTGCCGAACAAAACTCGGTCGACTTGGCCTGGACCCTGCTCATGGAAGGAAACTTCAAGAATCTACGAAAAACGATCTACCATACAGAAGATGAATTCAAGCGATTCCGAGCTCTTCTCGTCAACACCGTTCTGGCTACAGATATTATGGACAAGGAACTCGGTTCCTTGCGTAAGGCCCGATGGAACAAGGCCTTTAACGAAGAGGTTGTGGAAGATCAAATAACATCTGTCAATCGCAAGGCTACCATTGTTATTGAGCATATTATCCAAGCTTCCGATATTGCGCACACGATGCAGCATTGGCACATTTACCGAAAATGGAACAGTCGATTGTTTGAAGAAATGTACAAGGCTTACACTGAAGGACGCGCCGCGAAGAATCCTGCCCAAACGTGGTACGAGGGCGAGATTGGTTTCTTTGACTTTTACATCATTCCATTGGCCAAGAAGTTGAAGGATTGTGGTGTGTTTGGTGTTTCCAGTGACGAATATCTGAACTACGCCATGCAAAACAGAAGAGAATGGGAACTTCACGGGGAAAAGGTTGTTGCTGGTATGGTCGAGTCCATTCGTATGAAGACATCGTCAAATTACCGCAAGCCTGCATTGGCTGCCGATGGCCATGCCAATGTGAATATTGACCAGCTCAATTTGAGACAGATTCCAACGGAGATTTCTACAGTTCCAATGACCGAGTTGCCACCAGCATTGGATGTTCTCTTTGCCGATGGTTCGGACACGACTTGCTTTCAATTTGCTCGTTCGGTTGCCAAGATTGCTCCCAAGTGGAATGTCAAGTTTGCCAACAGTGGAGCAAAGGCAGTCCAAATTGCTACTCAACCCAACACCAAGTTCGATCTTATCTTTATTGATCAATACTTTGTGAGTGATGACAGTGAAGTCTTGGGAACGGACGCCGTCATTGAAATGCGCAACACTGGAATTCGTGGACGAATCTGTGGTATGTCGGCCAACGATCACGAAAACATTTTCGACGATGCGGGAGCCGACTCCTTCATGTTCAAGCCTCTTCCACAGAATCCAGAGGCACTGAAACAAGATCTGCTGCGTATCTTGAATGGAGGTGACGAGGATGATATGATTTAAAAAAGGAATGATAAAAATGTATAGGGTATGCATGTAGATATTATTTTTAAAAAACAATGAAAAGAAAAACATTGCACACTTTTGCAACAACTGCAGTACGTGTTGCTGTCAGCAGTTATTCATAGCCACAATATTGTCATAATCCTACATTACTCGACTACAGCATCAATGAATGGTTTTCGTTCCTTGTATCCTTTGTAGTACCATGACACCAGGTCGTCTTCCAATTTGTTCTTGGCCCCCTCCCATCCAAGCTTTTCCCTGGCCATGTCGGGTGCCACATAAAAGTTGGTGGCTCGAAATGGAAAGTCTCCCTTTTCGTCCCCGGTCGATTCAATTTGGACGTTACTCACGCTGGCCGCCTTGGCACAAAGTTCCGCCACCTCCTTGTACGACACCAATCGATCCGTTCCGCAATTAAAGTATCGCTGGGCAACGGCTTCTTCCTCCTTGTCCAAAACAGACGCCAACAAGGAGGCCACATCCTTGGAGTTGGTCAAGGATACCATTTGACTTCCGTCTCCCGGCATGGGGACCGGAGCATCCTTGAGGATGTATTCAAAATAATAATCCAAATAATCAAATTTGTTGGCCTTTTCTCCATAAATGTATTGTGGGCTGAATGCATTGGAATGGAATGAATGATGACGCTGTGTTATTAGTTGCAAACTGCTTGGTTTTGATACATCAATGAATCATCAATAAATCATTATCCTCATCATTTGAGACTTACCGGAAGGACACTAGTGGGAGTTTCTTTTCCAAAACGTATTGTTCGAATTGATATTGACCCGAAGATTCCTTGACTGCCGTCGTTTCCGACATGGGACCATCCGCATCTGCATCAGGAGTGTACATGCCAGCAGACGAAACGTAACAATACATTTTCAGGTTGTCCCATTCCGCCGCGCAATCGACCAAAGCCTTGTACTCCGCAACCGGCTTCTTGGAGGCATTGTCAAAGACATATTCGAATGAAAATCGTTTCCCACCCAACATGTTTTGCATAAAGTGCATGTCAATGAAATCAGAGCCCATGCTAATGGGAAGATAATTCACTTCCACTCCCTCGAGATCTGTCCCATAGGACTTGAAGGGTTCCTTCTCCATATCGCAGTCTTCATCTTGCAAAATAGTAATGTTGGTGATCTTATCCTTGTAGTTTTCTTGCAAGACTTTTGCCAATTGATATCCGAGTTCTCCATGACCACCGCCCTTGTTTTGAATGATCAATGCCGATGCGTCCAAGGAGGAGGAGGAGGAGGATGCTGATGCTGAAGGCTGCTGATGGTGATGTTTCCCAATATTATTAGAACGATTGGTAGTAAATGCAGCTGCTAACGTGGCTTGCAAAACGAGGATTAACCACAATTTCATGGTTTATGAGATGGGTGCTATATATTATTGCTTTAACTGACAAATCTTCTGTCTTCTTTATTTATCGGTATGTGTGGGGGTTGTCAGTATCATATCATCATGCTTGCATCCTCACTTAGATTTCAAAAAAAATCGAGATTGCCACAATGACGTCACATGAACTATTTGGGGGTGAAGAATGCATTTGGTTTTCAAAGCAACTCTTAAAAAAATTGTCCCCAGAATTTCTGAAAGAATTAAAGGTTCATCCTCTCGTTCGACAGATTCCAGATGAAGCTTGTCGCAAGTTCGAACAACTCACACGCGTCAATTTCAATGGTTCCGCTCTAACATCAATTGGAAAGTTAGCTTTCTAGGGATGTACAAGTTTGCTGGAAATCGAAATTCTTCCAACTGTGACGATTATTGGAGAAGCGGCATTCGCTGTTTGCCGCTCATTGACAAAAGTTCATTTTCATGAAAATGGTTTGTTGGCGACCATTGGAGACAAGGCCTTTCACGACTGCTCGTCTTTGATCGAAGTCAACATTCCCTCTAGTGTGGAAACCATTGAAGATAGTGCCTTTTCCAAGTGCACACTCTTGGCAAGACTGTTGTTCTTCGAGGAGGGACTGAAAACAATTGAAAATGAGGCTTTTGCCTGCTGTGTCAAATTGGAAAATGTGGACATTCCGAGAACTGTTGAAATATTGCGCAGCGGTGCCTTTCATAAATGCACATCGTTGCAGGAATTGAATATTGAGGAAGGAAGCTTGAGAGCGATTGGAGAAAGTGCCTTTCTGGCTTGTTCTAAATTGCAGAGACACTCAACATTTCTTCCACTGTTGAGCGCGTTGAAATGGAGGCATTCAGCCTTTCTAAATCTTTGGGGGTAATCAAGTTTCAGAGTGGACTCAGATATTTGGGAGACTTTCCCTTTTCGTCGGTGTGATAATTTGCTAAGCCGTTGCTCTGCCGGCCTCTGTCGAAATATTTGGCAGCTTCGCTTTTTATTGCTGTCGCAAGTTGGTGTCATTGGAATTTGGAGGTAGCCATAGAACTGTGAAGTTACATGACGATGCCTTTGTTGAATGCATGAATTTGGTAAATGTTTGTCCTCCTCCCTCCATATCGTTAACGACCACAACAAGTACTGGAGCTTTTGCCAACTGCACCTTTGCTGGCTGCACAACGCTGCAAAATCAATATGGCTCGGACATGGCGTCTGCCCTGATGCATCGCTTCGACAACTTTCCGATACACAAGAAATATTACCACGCTTCTGTCACAACAATAGATGAGCTTGCTCGGGAGATTGAGTTATCAATGCAATCGTCGCAAGAAGGCAATACTACTACCAGCGATCACTTGGTGGATCCTTTCGGAATGGCACCATTTCACTTTCTACTATCAGCTGCAAACTGCAGGACTGACCTATTACAAGTCCTACTAAATGCGTATCCACCCAACGTCATTGGATGGAAAGATGTAAATGGAAAGACTGCCATTGAATACTTGACGCAACGAAGCTTTCATCTAGATGAAGACGCTCGAACCATGCTTCGAAGAGCACTCCAACGATGGTTGGTGGGTTCGATATCGAGTTGGAATGGGTTCGAATCTTGGAAATCGGACATGACGGATAGGATGAATGCAATTAAATTGTTGCGGAGCACGAATTGGAACGAAGACAATCTTTGCTTCGAGAAACGTCAATGGCTCTGTCGCGGTACGAACGGATAGAAGCCACAACGTTGCTCGAGTTGTTGTCGTTGTGGAAAAATGAAATGAAGGCTGCAATTGGTGCGTCGGCAGAGAACGCAGTCGACAAGGATAACCGAGAAGCAAATCGGATTCGAAGTGGTGCTTCCGTTATCATCCCGAATGTGCTGATTGCAATCCTTTCTAATGTCACTAGCTATAGCACGTGTACTTGATCGGGAAATATTATGTTTTTTTACAACTAATTTTATATTAATAGACTCTCCCCTCTGCCCTCTGGGTAGAGTATCGGGTAACGCTACCGGTAATACTTGTAGTGCGACCTATTAGCCAAGCAGGATGACTACTTCTCCATTCCAGTGACCAACAAACACCACGTGTCGTATTCATTCTTTATTCGACATGCAAAAGTGACTTACCACGTCAAATCGGACTAATCAAACGACGATCAAAGTTCAGCAGTCGGAGTGGCTTCACAATAAATGTTTGTCACGCTGCGACAAGCCAAATAAGAAATCCAACGCATTGGCGACAAAAATCTTTCCGTTGACGGAATAGCGATTCTTGTTGCCCGATTTGAGATTTTTACTTCACGTGACAAAAACTGCTTGCGGAATCATTTCATCGGAAGAAAAATAGTTCTGAAGAGTGCACACACAAACAAAAATCCTGAAATCGTTCTCACACTCAAACTCAAACTCACACCCACAACAACAATAAACTACCACCAATATAATAATAACAACAACAAGATGAGCATCTCTTTCTCTGCCACACCCGTCATTCATGACCATTTGAGCCGAGAAGATTACTCCGAAACTGAACATCGCCAAACTTGGTACAGCAAGAAGGAACTTTCATCAATCAAGAAAGACACCAAGAAGACCATAACATGGATCATGGGTGGCATGAATGGCAACCGCGATCTCTTTTGTGAGAAGGGCTTGGAAGCCAAGACTCCTACCAACCTTCGCAAGCACAAGTTGCACAAGGAAGAAGCCATCCGCACTGTTCTAAAGGCCCAACAGAATCCTACTTACAAAAAGGATCCAGAATGTTTGGCCAAGGCATATGCCACTTATTCCGCACCAAGTATGGCAGAAGCCATGATAATGGCAGCTACCGAGTAAGCGAGAGAGAGAAAGAGAGATTCGCGTCTATTGCAATGTTAGACATGTATACGAGAAAAGAACAACACTCGCACAAGACTACACTACCAACACCCGAGCTATCGAACTAAAGACCGCTCGGACTAGCCAAGAGCGTGCGTGAAAAAGGGGGCATTCGTCATCGATTCACTCACTCGCTCTTTCGAGGCAGGCACAAGCTATTTTCCATCGACCTGTCATAATCCGAACAACCAAAGGAGGCGACAGGTCATTATACTTTCACACACAAAAAAAACAAAAAAAAGTTCCAAATAAGGCATCCATCAGCTATAGGGTGCAACAACAGAGTGCCGCCACTAGCAATCACCAGAGCTTAACAGTTAGATATTTTTTGAAACAATGACTACCTTTGATACGTATTCTGAATGATGCTACCAGAGACCCAAGGACACACTGCTGTCTTAATTCTCCTCTGTACGATTGAGATTTCCATA